TGTGTGTATACTTATATATTTACAGTATGTGTGTGTGTGTGTGTCAGTGTGTATGTGTTTACATGTGTGTATAACTATATAACTATATTTATACATACACACACACATACTGTAAATAAACAAGTATATATACACACACACGTGTATATGCATATACATATATATATATGTGTGTGTGTGTGTGTGTGTGTGTGTGTGTGTACTTATATATTTACAGTGTGTGTGTGTGTGTGTGTGTCTTTGTGTGTGTGTGTGTATGTGTGTGTGTGTGTGTGTGTGTGTGTGTGCTTGCATGTGTGTATAACTATATAACTATATTTATACATACACACACACACTTACTGTAAATAAATAAGTATACACACACACACACACACATACATATGTGTGTGTGTGTGTGTGTGTGTGCTTGCATGTGTGTATAACTATATAACTATATTTATACACACACACACACACACACACACACACACACACATATATATATATATATATATATATATATATATATATATATATATATATGCATATATATGTATATATATGTATATATATGCATATATGTAGATATATATATGTATATATATACCTATTTATATATATATATATATATGTATGTATACACACACACACACACACACACACACGTCTGTATGCATGTGTGCATGCGCACACACACACACATACATATACATATGCATATATGCATATATAAATGTGTGCTCCACAATGTAGATACTATAGTCACAAAGTTCTTTAATTTGTCATCAAATAAATTCTATCACTGAACTTAGCATAAAGCTTTATTTATAAAACTTTATTTTGAAAGTGAAACAATTACAGTGATGGTTCTGTCTCATTCATCCTTAATGATATCTTCTTTGTCAGGTTTGGTACTTGACAACTTGCCCTGTGCTTGGAAGTCATATCCTCAAGACCTGGACAATCTAGCAAGCGTTATATCATAGCTCATATAGCCTAACATAGTAAAGGCACTACAAGTATTTTGATGATAATAAATCACTGCTTCGTTTGTGTTCCCGTGTGAAACCGCACAACGATCATGCGATATGATCAAGCACAAAATCCATACTACAGTTTTTTGATGATTAACCTTTATCGTTTTAAGTTCCTGATGCTGCTGCCACTTAATTCAATTTAGATGTCTTTTACTCATTGGTAACTATCCAGGTCCAAAGAATGTGCAAGCTCTCCTGAATGCTTTGCAACCTGCCGAAAGTACACACCAAAGTCTCGCTTCCTAAGTGCTACTGCATACTTAGAGCGAGGAGAACACGTATGACCAAAGCACATCTGATGGCATTAGAAGTGCATGCAACTTTAATCGACTGAGGTGATGAAGTTTATACGAAAGAAACAGCGGGAAAAGTGATAATTTTCCTTTCATTGGCTTTTATTTTTATTTTGTTTTAACGTTTTTGAGAAAAAAAGTGTGATCTTATTTAAAATCTGTCAAACTTAATGTTTTACGTACACCTCCAAAGGTCACTAATTGCCGCTATTCTGGTCAAATATTACTTCCATTACTAAGTTGTGATATAGGTCTACATTCCCACAGACTTTCTTTAAGAAATGATGAAAAGATAAGCAGTCGCTTTCATAATGATTAATATAGTGATGAAGTTTAGCAAGATAGCATAGTATTGGTAAGGGATCAAAGGATCGGATGAAAAAACAAATGGAGATTTTTCACTTTAAAGAATTTCACAAATATTCACAGCATATAGTTAGAAAATTAGAAGAAAAGGGGGGATAATAAGATATACCACTTAAGATATAACATTAAGTTGTAATATTATAGTGAGAGTTGAGTGTGGTATATGGGAAGGAGCTTGATAGCGCTTGTGTCATACAGAGCTTCTTGGTCCTTCCTCTATACAGGTGTTGTGAATTTAAGGCAATTAGAACATGCTCGTCTAACTCTTATAACTCGTGCATACGCAAAAACGCAAACATGCAAATAACTACATTAAATTGGATATAACTGTAAACACATAGATATTCAAATAATGACGAGTACAACTCACGTGAAATAAATACACACACACACGCAGACATACCTACACTTAAACACAAGTAAGTACAACTTTCTTACAACAACGTATAGGTAGCCAGCATGTGCTAATACCTCGGGATACCTCTACAATCATTAAGGATATACAAATGCGTATAATGACATTTTAATAAAACGATTTTCTTCGTAATTCATGTAGTGATCTCATGAGGGTAATTCCCATTAATTATGTTTTTCGTATTTTGTTTATCGAAAGTGATTTACTGTTATTTACCTGTAATTTCATTCCCTTCTTCCTTCGCTTCGGTACCTAAAGTATACAATTTCGTTATATGTAATTTATTATGTCTATTTATCATTGTTAAACTAATAGTAAATGTGACCAAAAAATCCGACTTTAAAGTAGAAGATTCGTCATTACAACAGCTTTTCATAGTTTCTTCATAATTTTTTTGCCTATATTCCTACACACATTAGTGGGTTAAATACATTCCTAATGTTTCCTTTATTTTCCAAGTATCAATATTTATTTAAAAGTAATTGTGATATAAGAAGTATAATTTTCTATTCCTTGGCTGAAGATTGGGCATTTTAAGAATTGTGAAAAAATAAAATGAATAAAAGTAACCAGTCTCTTTGTTTGTCAGTCAGTTAGTACAGATGTCCCTTAAAATGCACTGTGATGTAGATGATAAATATATCGTATTTTATACGCTATATCTCTGGTTTGTCATCTATAGTTATCAGTCTATGAACAACTGTCAGTGTGTGTGTGTTCTTTGCTTTTTGCGAAAATATATAAATAATAATCTGAATGTTTTGTTTCCTTTTATCCAATGAAGATTGATCACTCGATGATATGAGCAAACTACGACTATACATCTACAAGTGAAGGAAAATAGTATGAAGTACAATTTAGGTTTTAATTTCCATAACGAGTAATGAGTATTTTTCTGTAAATTTGTAAATTTATGTGACTCATGATCAAACCTATTGTTTTTTTAACTTTTTTTTTTACTTCAATTTCCACTTCGCAATTTACTATTACACTTACGCTTATATATGAACTAGAGATGCAAGGAAATCACACATTATTTTGCGAGATGCATTTCAAATTTCAACACTCGGTCTAACGGTTTTTCAGTACACAGATCTAGCAGCGCCACTGGGGATTAGCCGGGTTTTTGTAATTAATCCACTGGTTGGTACATGCTACATTATCAGGATGAAGACACTACAGATGTCACCGCCCCTGAAATCCTCAAGCGTAATCCTCTGTGTGAAGGGAAGTACTACTTACTGTGTTTAAAGAGAGGTTTGTTTACGCTCTCAAATTTACGCGGTAGACTGAGCGTGTTAATTAACAAACGTTTTCATGGATTCTTAATTATTCCTTTGTACAGTCTCCCGGAGGATGAGGATTACTGACAACGGTGAGAACTCTCCCAGAGGCTTTTGTTCTTGTTCAGAAATGTTATGTTCATTTTCTTTCTTCTGATGTGGCTGAAGCCTTACACGCTACGGAGGACGTAGCAAAGAACTGAGACATGCCCTGCAATAAACTAGCGTGTATATTTATATCCTTCCATAATTCGTCATGCCGAGGTAAATATCGGTCAACCAAAATGCAATCTCACGTGGGTCACCGACAATATAATGTCATATACAGATATAGTGTTTCTGTATTTAAAATTAATTCACGCAGCCATACATATATACACATACATACATACACACACATTCACACGCAAATATATATATATATATATATATATATATATATATATACATATGTATATTATATATATATATATGTATATATGTATATTTTACATATACATGTATACTTGTATATACATGTATATCTATATATACATGTATAATTATATATGTATGTATATGTATATATGTATGTACATGTATATATATATGTATATATATATATACATATATACAAACATATTTATATGTATGTATATGTATATATATATATATATATATATATATATATACATACCATATTTATGTGCATGTATATGTGCATATATTTATATATATATATGTATATATATATATATATATATATATATATACCATATATATATATATACCATATATATATATATACCATATTTATATGTATGTATATGTACATATATATATACCATATTTATATGTATGTATATGTACATATATATATATATATATATATATATATATATATATATATATATATATATATATATATTATACATGTATATATATATACATATATATATACCATATTTATATGTATATATATATATACCATATTTATATGTATGTATATATATACATATATATTCATATATACACATATATACATATATATATATGAATACACACACATGCACAAGCACGCACGCACATATGTATACATATGTGTGCATACATATATATATATATATATATATATATATATATATATATATATATACATATATATGTATATATATATATATATATATATATATTTGTGTATATATATATAATATATATATATATATATATACGAATGCGCATATATATAAGTGTGTATGTGTGTGTACACGTACACACACACAATCACATTGCACTTATTGCAAATTATTTTATTAAACTAACATAGCTATCTTTTGTTTGTCAGAAAGATATTCTTTAAATACCACTATTTTACTATATTTCAACACAGCCGTAGTGAAAAAAAAAACAGATTTTTTATAACCCAGCCCCTCAAGCTTGTGGCCCCCAAGCTTGAGGGGCCCTAGGCTGCAGCCTATTGGATAATCCGGCCCTGCACACACACACACACACACATATATATATATATATATATATATATATGTGTGTGTGTGTGTATGTGAGTGTAAGTTTTTATGTATGTGTACACACATATATATGCATATACATATATATCATAACATACATAGTCATATACATAACACAT